CAGGGAGGAAAAACAGAATCGTGGGCCACATCAAAAGAGCCCACCTCCAAAGGCGGTCCAATAGTGAATCTCCCAGTTGAACAAGAATTAAGATTTGAACTCGGCCCATCAGGCAAGGCCTAATGTCTACCCACTTCACAGCCCACAATTGGTGCCCTATCTGTATCACAACCAGACATCGACCTAGCACTATAGCGAAACCCTTGCGCAGCCACCATGGCTGATTCGGCCATTAACACATGCAAAAAACCAGCACAAAATGTAGCAAAACACCGAAACAATAACAGAAGACTAACCCCCAACCCTTCCCAAAATCTTTAGGAAGAAGGATGAAACAGTCGAACTAGTGAAGATGGGAAATCACCAGCACAAAACAATCACCATACACGCCGATGAACAGAAGCCCTTACAACAAAAAATTTCAACAAACAAACCACAAATTCCGAAAACTGCCCAAGAGAAGAGAACCACAACCTTGAAACACAAAGACACCACGAAGCGGAACCCAAAGAGGCTCCTCGAAATCATAATCAAAACGCCCAACCAAAACCGAAAATCGCCAAGAAAAATAGGCACGAAACGCCCTAGATTAGAAAAACACCACTCACCACTCACAAAAGAGGGAGATCAAACGAGCAAAACACCCAAATCTCGATAAAACGAGAACACTTTGAAAACAGAGACCCTTGACGGCGCAAGGAAAATATGAGATTAACTTGTACTTAATTCAATTATGTCGCAAAAAGTAGGATGGTGAGAACTTGTCTATAATATAAAATAAGTGTACAAGACAAGTGTCGTATATTTCACAAACAATAAGAGTGATCGAGTACACATGAAGATTGTAAACTTTCAAATGCAATACAACACTTGTGCAATAGTGCAGAGTATCCAGACCATCTCTTAAACTTTATCAGTTACTTTTTTTTATTAAAAAAAATTAATTTTAAATTTTATTTATTTATATATACATATTTCCAAACCTTAGACTTATGAATTATGAGTTTTGAAAAGACACATTCTAGCGTACACCCTAGGGAATCTTTTTATACTGTGCAATGAATGTACATCGATTTTTTTAACCCAATGTACATTGATTGAATTTAATAGATTTTATTATTAAAATGAGTCCTTTTCAACCGTTGTTGTCTTTTGGTCTATTAAGCACCAAATAAACAACGAAAAGTAAAAACACAATCGGGGGGGGGGGGGAAGTAAAATGTAAAATAGAAAGGTGGAAAGTCTGAGTTTGGCACAATGTCTCTTTCCTGTATTAAATTACATGTGTGTGTGTCTATATATATATATTTATATATATAAAAAAAAATATTAAGTCTACATAGATAGAACTAGAGAGTTGAGAAAAGTGAAAGGACAATGTTTAGCTATTCACTAATGAGTTGTTTAGCTACTCACTAGTGAGTAATTTTAATAACACATTAACTTTAATAACAAAATTAATAAAAATATAAAAAAAAAAAATGAGAAAAAAGTCGTATCGACCCGTTTTAATTGGGTAACCACCCTTTCTTTTTTGTCTTTTTTTTTTTCATCGATTCCCAAAACCCCGCCCTCCTCTTTCCATAGAGTACTACAAAATGCTAATTCCTCCATCCCTGTCAATTCAGTAGAAGCAAAACACACATTGCAGCCTCTTTTTTTTTTTTTTTGGATGTCTTCGTGTGCAAAGAAGTATATAAGAAAACAGATAATTTAATGCCTTTGGCTTCCAATGCTTAAACTGACATGGGAATTAAAAGTCCTCATGCTAGGACGCCAATGAGTCAAACATGTTCATAGCATTAAAGTTTGCCAGCAATACCCAATTTGATCTGACTCAAATTTCGGTTATACTGTGAACTTCAAAATGAAATACTTCGATCACCTAGATTATCGATAGTCAATATACTTGGCCGACGCTCAAATTGATCGAATCAAACTCAAGTTACAGATGGATTAAATTTATACAAAATAATAATAATAATAATAATAATAAAAGAAAGAGAGAGAAAAAAGAAGAAGAAGATATGAGTTATCATAACTAATTTATATGATAAACCTAAAACATATCACAAAAGGGAAGAAAATTCACAAAAGAATAATAAAGGATTGAAATTAAAAACAAACATCTCAAAGAATAATGTAGATGGGAGGGGCAAATTTAATTCCCACGGTAGAGAGAGGAGGGCGAGGGTTTGAGAATCGAAGAAAAAGAGAGAGAAAAGAGAAGGGTGGTTATCTAATTAAAACGGGTTGATCCGACTTTTTATTTTATTTTATTTTATAATTTTGTTGATTTTTTTATTAAAGTTAATGTGTTATTTTTTTATTAGAACACATAAAGAGTGAATAGGGTAAAATTACTTATCAGTATATAATTAAGCATTGTCCAAAATGAAAATAGAAAAAGAATCGTGATGGAATAGAAAATCTTAACTGAAGGGTTGAGGATGGTGTGGTGGCTAATTTTTTGGCCCACACTCATTGAGTTACAGTTGAGTGTGTGTTTTGATTGTGTGTGTATAATATATATTTATTATACATATATATCATTTTTTTTTTTTTAAATGAAAGATGATATTTACACTATGTTTTGAAAATGCACTTGGTTTTAGTCTTTTTCTTGAACTAATAACAAAAATATCTTTGATAAAAGTGGTACTATACTGCTTCTTAATTAAGCTTAATAAATCCAAGGGCGGTGATGGACGGTCACAGACGCATAATTAAGAAATGATGTAGTACAGACTTATATAAATATATATATATAAAAGCAGCAATAAGCTCACATTATTCCACCACCGCACTGTACCCAAACACCATTCAACCACAAAATCTGTAGCTATGCTATTTTTAATGTAACATTTGAGTCATAATTAGCTACTTTAATGTGTCAAGATTCAAGATAAAAACAAAATCTAAGGCATAAGTACTTGAATATTATTGAATGATGGAACATTTATCTAATTGTAGCTTAATGATCCTTTTTTACTTTTTAAAATAAAAAGTCGAGAATTCAAGCCCTAAGACAAAAGTGAATTTGTTTTTTTGGCCCACTCCAAAACTGAAAAATTGGATTTTTTTTTTTTTTTTTTCTTCTGCACTGGACCATAATAAGAGCCATTAGGCATTATTTGGCTGGCACAAACATTGCCTAACTAGCTTTATTGGCCAAAAGAAGTTGAATTTTTTTTTTTTTTTTTTCACCTTTTTTTTACCTCTATAAATTCATCAACCCTTATGGTCCTACCATCATTCGTCTCATATCCAACTCATTTCTAATTCCTACTCCTTCTGGTTAAAATTTTTTATTTTCTCAATCTTATTTTAATAATCAATCCAATTATGTATATCCTGAATCACTATAATACAATTACAAAATAAATATATATTATTTTTGAAGATCGAAATCGCCTCATTATATTACCATCGTTAGCAAAATTTGGAAGGTGAAAAGCGGAGACTCCAAAATATTTACTTGACTCTTAAAAACGATCACGTGACAAATTTGAAGAGGAGTTGGAGATGCTCTAATATGGACGGTTTGGGTTGGCATGGTACCACATTTAGGCCATTGTCTTGTCAAAAGCAAGCCACCAAATAACTTGCAGATTTACTAGTATTTTTGGGGTGCCATGTCTGGTCTAGAATTGGAAAGCTATAGTCTAGAGGCAGGTGGGGGTGTGTTTCTGGTTAGGAGAGATGAATGTAGCACAAAATAGATACTATGGTACAGTTTTGTATAGTTTACCAAATTAATTTTTTTTTTTTTTTCTTTTTTTTTTTTTAGGCTACAGAAAAAAACGCAGACCAGAAACTAGAGATCAGCGTCAATGACTTGGATCAACCCAGGAGGCCAAACATCGCAGTGAAAACCACTACACTTAGACCTGAGAGCCCATTTGCCAAGGAAGTGAGCAACTCTGTTGCAAATTCTAGGAGTCCAAAGAAGCTTCCAAGAGTGCAGATGATGAATCATACAAGCAATATCCTCTACAATAACAGGGGAAAATCCATCCACCGAATGGAGTTGCATAATGCGCTGATTATCGCCTTCAATATCAACATTTGTGAGGCCGCACGAAGATAGAAGTTTAAGACTTTCCCTCAAAGTGAGAGCTTCTGCCGCTGCATGCGATCCCACGTTCTCAAAAAAAATAAAAGGCGCAACGAACCAGTCTCCCTTTGTCATCCCTGAGAATGGCACCACCCCCCGCGAAATGGGAGAGGAATTGAAAGCGGCATCAATATTTAGCTTTAATCTACCTAAAATAGGGGCTTGCCAAGAAGATGGCCAGAATCAGAAATAGTGTCAAAGAGAATAATAAAAAATAAATAAATAAATAAAACCGTATGTGTTACTCGACTAATGACTCCAGATCAATTATGTGAATTAATGTGTTATGAAAAATAAATAAAAAAAAATGAAAACATTTTACCCACTAAAATTTAAAGAAAAGTGATGGTTAGATTTATTTCTAAGTGTAGAGTGTAGTCTTATCCATTCGATGAAGTAAAGGTCTACTTTTATCACATGGATAAAAAAACTTTCAACTCTTAGATTTAAGACCTATTATCTAGGTGGAGGCTTCTATAAAGTGAATGGAGACTGTATTAATCTTGTCCACTTTAATTATAAAATGGATAAATTCCATTTACTACGCTCCTCCCTTTAAGAAATAAATTTAAATAACATTACAATTCAGGAAGAAAAACAATATTCGAACAGTCATTGCTCCCAAAAGAATTAAAAATTGTACAGTCCACAACAATCCCATATGTAATATTTTGTTAATCCTCCCTACAAATACCAGTTTCACTTTAACAAATTATTCTATGTGTGCAAACTACTTTTAAAAATCCTTATCCAAAAAAACTACTTTTATAAAAATTTATCTATAATGATATTTATAATATATCATGTTCCTCCGAATTTCACTCGAAACTCTCTCTCTCTACAAAAGTCACAAAACAAAACAGGACACTTATATATATATATATAACACACACACACACAACATATGTCCGTCTACACACACCAGCTGGAAGGGTATTATCTGCTCTCCTCCTTTCCGTTTCTCTCTCTCTCTCTCTCTCTCTCTCTCTCTCTCTACCTTTCGGCTTCTCTCTTGAGATATATATATATATATATATATATACATCATCCCATGTCCTTCGCCTTCTCAATACATTAGCTTGTAAGGGCTTCTTTTGGTTCATTCCTTTTATGGGTTCGGGTTTTTCTTTCCTATTTGCAAAAAGCAATCTGCGTACAGCTCCGTTGCAGGAGCCGAGTCTCGGCGATTTACCGGAGGCTTGTGTGGCGTCGATTCTAGTGTATTTAGACCCACCGGAGATTTGTAGACTCGCACAACTCAATCGAGCCTTTCGAGGCGCCTCGTCAGCCGATTTCGTTTGGGAATCGAAATTGCCTTCCAATTATGATTCTGTTATTGAGAGCGTGTTTGATGATTTTCCCCCAAAATTGTGTAACAAAGATATATATGGGAGACTCTGTCGACCCAATTCTTTTGATGGAGGCAAAAAGGTTTCTTTTTCACTCTTACATCCGGTTTGGTTCTATAGAAAATAAACAAGGTTTATGTTATATATATATATATATAGCTCTGGAAAACGAAAAATTAAAAAAAGAAAAAAAAAAAAAAGAAAAAAAAAAAAAGAAAAGAAATGGAAATGGAGAGAAATATTCTTGAAAACTTATATATTTTCTGCTTGTCCAAAACATGGTTTCATTAATCTCTGAAAGTTGAATATGAGCTAATGGGTCTTAGTTTCTTGAAAATTTATTCGAAGAAATGTTTTGTGGCTTAGGATATTGGATTATTCAGGTTTGTTGATTGGGTGGTTGTCGATATGGGTTTTGTGCAGAAAGTTTGGCTGGATAAGAGTACAGGAAGGATTTGTTTGTCAATTTCTTCAAAAGGATTGGTGATAACGGGCATACATGATCGGAGATACTGGAAAAGAATTCCATCGGAGGAATCTAGGTGAGGATTCGGAAACTTTTTTTATTTTATTTTATTTTTTGTAATGAATTCCTTGAAAATAGAGAGCAGTGTGTTTCTCTGTCGTGTATGTTTTAGTTTAGAGTCATCGAATGATTAAATCTAAACGTTTGAGTCTATCTCCACCTCCAAATTCTCCAAAAATGGCTTCTTTTGCTTTCCCTTCTCCGTCTCTATCTTATTCTTTAATTGTGTTTTCCTCTTCAAGCATGTGAATTCAATATTATCTAATGTTCATTTTCTTGTATATATCTCTAATGATACTAAGTAGCATTCAAAATTTGTATCCATTTTCATGACATTATGCATGTATCAGATATATCATGCCGAATTCTTCAGAAAATATTGTGTCTTCCATAGTGGGATTTGATAAGTGAGATTTCAAGTGTACATAATCCTCTTCTGTTTGTAGAAATGATTCGTTGTGGGGAAATGAAACTTTCATCAAAGAGAAGCAAGTGAAAGGCTTTCATAAAATTTCTGGTAAAATTGAGAATGAACATGCCAGATCTAGAATTGGTAACTACACTCATTTCCAGAAACAAAAAATTCCCAATTTTTTCGGTTTCCTGAAGAGCTCCCATTTCATCATTGAGGATCAGATTACGCCACTCACTCAATTTTTTCGGTTTCTCATAGATAAGGCAATAGATTGATGTTCAGTTTTATAAAGGCATTAAATTTTCCCATATAATGAGCCCAAAAACTTAAGGGCAATCTTGATCGATTCCCCGTTTTTGATACCAAATTTGGTTTTGAGGAAAGCGCTTCCAGTTTTGATAATTTTCATAATGGTAAGACTTGGACGCCAGACTTTGATTCCTAGTTGCATATGCATGTCAAATATCTGAATTTATATAATCGGGATTGGATTCTGTTTCCTGAGCACAATTCCAGGCAGCCTCAATTGATTGAGGTTTATTATTCATTGAAGCAATTGAGGTTTATTATTCATTGAAGCAAATGGATTATAAGAGAATGGAGAGAAAGCTATGCATAAAGTGAGCAGTTCTAGATATAAAATTTGCAACCATCTCTTTACTTTCAAAAACTTTTTGTGGGGGGAGTATAAATCAGAACAACTACAGCAAATCATTCTCATATTTATTGTCTATGTTGTCTTGTTATTATTGTTGTTGTTCTTGGTAGTAGTAGTTGTCTTTATTATTATCATTGTTGCTATAATGTTACTGTGATGACACTGCTATTGTTTTGGGGAGAGATAGGGAGTTTATTCAGGAAAGCATTGGTATCCTGAAGTTACAGAAAGAAAAGATATTATGGTAATAATAAAGAGATATTATGAACCTTTTGGTACAGTTTGTTCGGGAAACTTCTTACAAACAAGTAAAGTTAGATGAGTTGAGGATGTATTTAGTGACCGAGTCATCATAACCCCTTTAAGTAAACGAATCAACTTGCTGATTTTGTAGAGTTTTCAGTAAGATCAATCCATGTTAGCATAAGGAAAAGCCACATGGAGTCATGGACTAAAAAAAAAAAGAGAGCATTTGCTTTCATTTGATATATGGATGATGATGTTATCTGTGAGATTGTTGGAAGAAAATGTCCTAAAATAAAATGGTGGAAACTAATTAAGCTTATTCTTGATTTAATGAACGAGATTACCATATCCTATTTTTCCTTTAGGAAATTCTCTATTGTATATATATATATAGTGATTTCTTTTGGAACTCAATGAATTATTCAAAGTTGAACTGTATGGAAAACCAGAATCTCCTTTGTTTTCACATCAAACCCATTCCTTGGATTTCACAAACATAGGTCTAAGATGATGCTGCCTCGAAATGTGGACAATATTGGAAAGAACAGATCATTTGTTTGTTTTTGCTCATTTTTGATGAAATTTCTGGCCTCTCAAAAGTTGGACTATTCTGATTCATGGCATGATTATTGTGTTTGTGCAAAAGCTACAAATCTACAATATGCTAGTGTTTAATGTACTTTACCTAAATTTAGATGCAACAGCCTGTGCTTACTGCTTAACCGTAAAATAACTGTTGCATCGACTGTGTGTGCTGTTCCAGATGGAGAATTGTTTTATTTGTTCTTTTTTCAGTTTTTCCAGTTGGTAGAGTATTACTGTAATAAAATGCTTTAATTAATTCTTGAAACATAGTTTTATAGAGTATTTTTATTGATTTAGAATTCCCTGGCATCATGTAGATTCTGCAGTCTTGCTTATCTTCAGCAAATATGGTGGTTTGAAGTTGACGGGGAGGTCGAATTTCCATTCCCAGCAGGGAGCTATAGCCTATTCTTCCGGCTGCATTTAGGACGGACCTGTAAGAGGTTTGGTCGCCGGGTATGCAACACAGAACATGTTCATGGTTGGGATAAAAAGCCGGTACAATTCCAGTTTTCGACTTCAGGTGGTCAGCATGCTATTTCTCAGTGTTTCCTAGATGAACCTGGAAAATGGATACACTACCATGTGGGTGATTTTGTTGTTGAGGACTCGAGTGCACCAACAAAAGTTAAATTTTCTATGACTCAGATAGATTGTACACATACAAAAGGGGGTCTTTGTGTAGACTCTGTACTAATTTATCCTAGTGAGTTGGGAGAGAGGTTAAAGCATTTTTGAACCCTTTCGAGATATAGGGACTTAGTTATATATTTATACAGAGGTGTAAAATTTGTCTATAGCAAGCAGCGTGTGTCTTTAAGTATCCACTGTTTGGCTAGTGTACTGTTATTTTCTTTTGATCTCATTTTACTTCCGTCTTTTTTTTATTTTTTTTTTATGAGAAATTTAAAGACGGCTCAAAGAATGCGAATGCCAAAAAAATGGCAGGAGATTTGAAATTTGAAACCGGAACATGAAAAAGTAAATATAACCTAGTATATCAGAAAAACTTCCTGCCACTGGTTTGATTAACCAGAGAACGAAAAATGTGCAATACATTTTCACATTTTCCGATCATTATAGGACCGTTTTGGACAGCAAGAAGGCCAAAAGGAAGGGCCAACACATTTTCCGATCATTATGGGACCGTTTTGGACAGCAAGAAGGTCAAAAGGAAGGGCCAACACATTTTCCTGTATAGTTTGACAAGACCTTCTCAACCTGAAGTGACCCATTTCCGATTGTGTGTGTGCGAGAGAGATTCAGACCAGATAGTTCTCAAAAACATCATTTTGTATTTAATATATATTGCTTAACCTCTATAGACTCGTTGTTTTGGTTCGGATTAACTCCATAACACTGAACTTTTGAACCTCTTTATCTTTCACAAGATAGAGATAACTAGCAAGACTCGAGAACTATACAACTCTATGCTGGGCTTAATATTCCGCAGAAGACCTAACAAAAACGTTAAATCAAAATGAACTATGCCTTCCAGTCATAGCCCATGCCCTTCCAGTCACCAGTTAAGTCCCCAATTTCAGTAAAGTCATCAGCCATTTTGAACTCCTCAGGAAGATCGGGTTCCCTCTTGATTAAAGTGCCACTGCCACAAACCCGGGAAGAGCTACTGTTAGATGCAGAATTGACATTGTTGGTCCTCCCTGGGACACTACCTAACACATCTGCCGTAACAGCGCCAGCAGATTTAGAATTACCAGTAACATTACCAGTGACAGCGCCAGTAGATTTCGTATTACCAGTAACACCGCCAGTAGATTTAGTATTACCACAACCAGGCCCATTCGCAACCATAATTGTGCCCCTGGATCTTCTTGTCAAGCCATCGGATGTACTTCCATTGAACTCAACGGGGACTTGTTCCTTCACCCTGCCATTCGCTCTGGTGTTAGTCACCATCTCCTGCAGTAATTTATGGATCATATGCTGCTGTAGAATCTTGTTGCTATGGGAGGACTGGGAAATTGACAAACCATTGTCGGGTGAGCTAGAAAACAGTCCTGTACTTGGGGATTGGGAGCCAAGAGCCGGTGAAGATGCTTTCTGATTAGAACATCTCATTGAAGGAGGCTCCTGCTTTACCGTGCCTACATTATGGGATGCAGAACTCTGTCTCAGCAATGTCTGGTAGTAGTAATTGGTCAGTGCCAGTGATGCTGTTCCCGAGTCTTCCAAAATTCCACCATCAGTCATGTGAGAGTTGTCATTTATGTTGCTGGTTGGATCAGGAGGCATCATCAACTTATTTCTCTCAGTCCGCAGACCTTGGGCACTGCCTTGCTGCTCGGTTTGCTCCACCCACTTCATCTGGGTTTTAGTTTTGGTGTCTTCTCGAAAATAGTTCTTCAAACTCTCTACAAATGAGAATTTGTATTAATTATAAGTTGAGATATATTCTAGGCAACTGCTTCAAATAGTAATAGAGCAAAACAAGGATTCTATATTTGTGGGATATTAACTAATATTACATATTAATAATGGTCTATTTTTGTCCTAGTGGCTTTGGGTCTTGACTCTCAAGTCCTAGGTGAAGGTTTTAAGACTAATACAGAGAAAAGAAAGGAAAAAAATATTACATATTAATATTTTATTGAAAATTGATCAAGACATCTCTGCTAGTAAATACCAATACTTCCTTGTTAATCTAGCTACAATAGTAACCCTCTGATTGATTGCTGAGGTAGTGGAAGGGAAGAAAGAAGAATTGGAATCAATGAGCAGTTATGAGACCTTCAATCTGTTCCGTACCACCCTTCCCCTTTCTCTTTCTCCTCCCTCATTCACCAAACAAAGTTACAATCAAGAATGGGAAAGTCAAAGCTCAGATTTTTTTTAATAAATTCACATAAATGACAAATAAAGATGGAATTAGAATTTATTTCAACTGAATTTAGTCAAGAAATAAATTTCATTATTATTGTGCTTCAAAACAGAGAACATGAGAAGAAAAAAGAAAAGAAAAAACTTCATCAATGTGCAACAGTAATCGAGCAACTAATAAATATTCTCAAACCATTTGGTCCAAGAATCAATAAAATTTCACCTAGAAGAACAAATTCAAGTGGAAGCAACATTCAAAGGGAAAAATTAAAGTTGTGCTAAATGTCAATTATACCAAAAAGATCACAAAGAATCAAAATTTACAGTGTTTATAATATATGCATACCAATTGGTCCAACATTGTTTTCATGGCTGAAAGTCATCAAATCTTTCATGCTGCTGACAACTTCAGCAATCTGTGTGAATCAACAAACGTAAGATTGTGCAAGAGAATATTAGAAGAAATAACTCTCCAGAAATTAAATTTTGGATTTACACACAGATAAATTCTCCTAGATGTACCTGCAAACACCTGAGGTATCTTTTGGCAAATCCCAAGTCATTTACCAGTATTAACTCCAAATTCCTTGCAAGCTGACGTCCTGCTGTTAGGAACCTACAACAAGAGGAATAACTGTGTAGTGAGAACCAAATCAATGTATTTGTATTTTGTAAGGGCTTGACCCCAGATTGTGGTCTGGTTTTCTCCACAGATCATTTTCCCAATCCAAATAGAGCTCCAAAATTTGACTTGGGCAAGAAAACCTGTTGAAACACGTACTGGAGGAGTCATTTTGCTATACAGGTTGGTTTCATGCAACGCCAGCAACACCGTGATCATGAAAAGTTCTAACTTTTGACACTTCTTTCAAGCTCCTAGACACATCAATCATAATCCAACCCTTTCAATATTTCAATTATATATTATTTATGGTTCCACATTGATTTCATCTTTTTTTTTTAGATATTTGAATTCCTTACATATTGGTCCTCAATCCATGGATTTAGGTTTTCTAGCTCTCTTGTTACTGGATCATGTCAAGTATTTTTTTGGTAAGAGTCAAGCCCATCCAGCCATCGGCCATCCAGGGAAAATATAAGAATAAAAGGAACCACAAAAGGAAGAAGTTTGCAGATAAAGCCACTCATCCAAATATGTTTGCAGTAATACGAAGATCCAATGCAATATCTTACATGGAAATTTTGAATGACGTAAATTTTTTATACCATCTGAAATGCATTTAGTTGCACCCTAATTTATATTGCGTCATTTTTTTGGAGACAACCACCAATAGTCATAATCTTTGGGAATCATGCCTTCAGTAAAAAATTACAATTAGACATTGGAAGAATATATATAAATATAATTGCTCAATTTAGAAAAGAAATTCTTTCATAACCTTGACTTACATATTGCATTTCAATTGCAAATCCTGTTGTGAAAGCCTATCAGAAGCATTATCATTTATAGTACTTTGACATTTATTTGCAGACTGAACCAACTGATTCACCTGCATACCAGAACATATTCAAAAAGAATTTTAGACAAGTAACTTAGATATGTGATATTATGCACTGTATGCAATATATAGAAGGAAATATGTTCACAGGCACTTGGGGAAGAATAAAAAATGCTCACAGGCAAGAGAATTTGGATTGAAATTAAAAATAGAATTCGCACATTAGTATCCTTATCAAACAAAAAGAAAAAAGAATTGGCACATCGGTATGAACTCTATTTGAACCAATCACATGTATGCCACCTATTCGTATCAACAATTGGCATGTCAAATAGCTCTCCCAAGACCAGTATCCAAAAAGTTTTGGATACTTAACAAAATAAAACAACCTTTAGTCACACATTAAAGATGCAGAAAAAGTTACGCGTGTATCCGGCTAGGTGCAAACAATTCCTTGGAGGGGGGGGTGTGTGAGTACCAACTAGGAAAAAAAAACTACGCTTGTACTTTCAGCTTTTACTGTGAAACCTTAATTCAAACTTATTCGTCCTTGCGATGTGCTTTGAATGGTGTCCTACTCCTACACACAAACTTTTTAATGTCAGATGTTTGGCAATTGTCCTGTACCCACCTAAACAAGACATCTCTATATCAACAAATCCTAATTTTGAAGTGAACGATTTGATTATCACAACAGGATAACATGAACAGAATTTTTAAGGCTTGAATACATTATTCACGAAAATCTAAAAGCACATATTTATTACATTAAATATAAGACCCAAAGGTAACATGAGGAAGACCAATTTATGGATCAATAAGCTGCAATAACTACAACAGTGTCTAATAACAGCTGCTCGTATTGAAGGAGAAAAATGATACCTGAGGTGCAACCAATCTACGAGGCAAAAGTTCTTCATGATGTCGAGCACAGAACTCCCAAGACAATATCTGAAGAATACATATCATATAAGTACCGCAGGTTTAGAAGAAAACAATGCTCAAATCAAAACCGGCAACAGTATCCAAGGTTTCATGGTATGAACCTGTTAACGTTATTCATATTGATAATTTAACTCACCTTCAAGTCGTGACTAAAAATTACACGAAGTTGACCCTCACGAACAACACGGAATTGTTCATACACACTCTCTTGAACTGCTTTTCCATACTCTAACATCATTAATCCAGATTGGAATCTACGCTCGTGTGGTAAATCAAGGAATAGAAGTTCATCAATGACCCCACTCTCATATTTCATTTTACTAAGCCTAGGAAGTATTTCATAAATCGCCTCTGCCAAAGAAAAAAAAATACAGAGAGAAGTCAGATGAGATCGGTAAAATCAAGAAAACACGATCAATGAATTTAACATATGATGATAATCGAATAGAAGCTGAAGCAAGATCAAGCCAGTAACCAAAACTCCTTGGTTTACCAATAATTTTACATGTTAGTTTAATATTTTCCAACAGTGTGAAAATTTAAAATAGAAATTAATTGACTCACCTACATTTTTTGAAGGGTTGGGATATCTAGAAAGGAGCAAAGGAAAATAAAAAATAACACCTTTTTTTTTTTATTTTATGCGCTACATTAATGATGCAGTCAAGTTCCTGAAGCGCTTCATTCAATTTAAAGGATATGGGATGGAATCCACAACTAAAAAACTTCATCCAGAGAAGCCAACAGAAGACATAACCGAGCACGACGAGTTGAGGACCATCTCAACAACTCTCAAGCAATGGTAACATGGACTCGAGTACATGTGTCGGGTGTGGATATGTATCTATGCGTCGGGCCTGTCAAATCTTCATACATAAGGACATATGGACACCGCAAAATATTCATATTATTTAATATTTAATATTTTTATTTTTATTCTCGAGTAAAATAACATCTTTAGGTTACAGTGTCCAATATAGGCATTTTACTCATTTTGAAACAATAATACAATAAAATTAAATCACTAGGTATATTTTTTAGGTGCATGTCCAACCAAAAGTGTCGGATACATATCCATACCCATGTCCAAGGATCATGTATTCGACATGGGTACTTCACCTAACTTTAAAGAGTTCATTAACATAGCTCTCAAGTTGTATGGGGCAAGAGCACTTCTACCACAAGTGTATATGGTTGCACAAGGATTAATTCAGCATTTTTTTTTTTTTTTTTGATAAGTTGATTAATTCAGAATATTCCATCATTAGATCTCTGTGAGTAGATAAGTAGAACAGAGAAAGTTCCAGCTCCATCAAGGTGTGGCTAGGTTAACAAATAATATCAATATCTTCGGGCCAATTACGGGGTGGAGTATTTAACCAGGATTGTACTTTTTTCTCATTTATCTGATAAATGATTTGCTACACAAGGTGGCCTGTAACTCCCATTGGAGACAAAGGAACTCCTAAGGTTTTATATACTAGTGAAGTATGTGACTCTGTCCCTAAATTATGATTCACCCAATCCCAATCTAAAACTAAAATAGTGTGATCAATCTTGTAATATGATAGTGCCTATAAGTTTCGAGAGCCAACTCTGAACTGAACTACAAAAATTGAGTTTGGCAAAACAGAATGCTCCTTAAGCAAAGTAGCAGCCTCGAAGTAATAATAAATTACTAATTCATATACTCAGCTGTAAGCTAAGATTGATTTTGGCCGAAAAGAATGCTCCTTAAGCAAAGTAGCAGCCTCTAAGTAATACTAAGTTACTAATTCATATACTTTTGACCTAAATTTTTCACACAGTGTGACCTCTATCTAAATATGATAGATACAGTAATTGAATGATGCAACTACAATCTTCTTTTTGGGGTGACACTCCAAGATCATGAAAATACGAAAGACAAGTTTTAACAATATTCAAGACATGCAATAATTTTGAACTTTTAGCTCATAAATAATAATAAATCTTGAAATGCAGCAAGCCTTTAATTGTAATTAATGAAACCTCAGTTATTCTGCAACACAAAATGAACCGGCACATACCACTACGCCATTAGCCCAGCTGGTATAACCTCTCTTCCCTCAAAGGGAAGGTGAGGGGCTTGAGCCCCATAATAGGCACTTGTGGGTGTGTGTGACTATTTACCTAACCAAAAAATAAATAAAATGGACTGGCACATTTGTCTTGTTAAAAAATATTGGATTGAATTGGGTCCATGAATCTAAGAATAGAACATGATTGAAATCCACTAATATTTACAATTAAAAATAAATAAATCATACCCGGCAAACAAGATCATTATCTGATTAGTGAGAGATACCACAAACAGATTTCCAGTTCTGTATTTTGTTTCATCCTTGAAGGCCATTATATATAGTTATATATCAAAAAGAATTTAACAAATTATGAACTACCAAGACAATACAATAAATTACAGCTTCAAGGGATAATGCTAAAACTGGACATACAAGCTTCATTTTGAATGCAATATAGCAACCAATTTAGCAAAGTTAGTCAAGACAGTACAGTGAAAAAATCAGTAGTGTTTTCTAGAATAAGATATAACAGAAGTGAACATAGCTGAAAGCATGACTAACCAAAAAATTTAATAGCTTGATGGGTAAAAAGAACCAGAAATGAGTTCTTAATGTCACTGGGAAGGGAAAATAATATACATCTCTATTTTTTTTTTTCCAATATACATCTCTATTTAAATAAACATAAACTAATGATTTGCTTACCAAACCCTTTCCCTGATTTAGAACCACAAATGTCACAGTGCCATGCCTCCTGAAAATAAATCAAACAAGCAAAAAATATATTCAACTTTCGGATCGCAGGGACAAACTATGATTTAATGAGGAAAAGAAGAATCAGATATGCGACACAGATTGACTCATTGACATAAGGTAGCCCTGCACAAAAAAAGAAACAAATGAAAGAGAAGAATACACAGGCAGCATGAAAACTGACCATAGCAACCTGTGAGAAAACACCAAGGGCATGTTGTCCAATATCATCATACATAGACAAACACCACCTTTTCTTGGCACCAGGAGCATAATATTCTGCAACGAACTTCCTCCAATAGGTAATATTATTGTCCTATGAAAAGCAATGAAAATAATCAGATGAGAATTAGAGTGCCATAAGACTCTACATATCTACACATATCACTGAACTGAGAAACAAAATGCAAGCAGGCTGTCAGAGTAAGAATAGCCAGTAGCGGGAAAACTAAGAAATGACATGAGAAAGAGAGCAATAATAAAAGCAGCTGCATTATTCCAATTAAACCAACTCACAGGTGGTCGGTGCCGCAGATGATACATGTACTGCATTAACCGTCGAGAACAAACACCACCATCAAGAGGGTGCACAGCAGAAACTTGATGAGGGACCTGCTGCTGTAAATGCTGCCTCATTTCTTGTTGCTGCTGTGAATGAACACCACGCAGCTGTGGAACTGACTGCAAAATTTGTTGCTTTTGCTTTTGCTGACTTTGTAATCTATGCTGCTGAATCAATTCCTGTAGCTGTGGATTATGATATTGCATCTGCACATGGTCCTGTCTTTGCAGTAGTTGTTGAACGATCTGCTGATGCAAAAGATCCTCTTTGCTGATGTCTAGCCTCTGTTTCTTACGCATTTGGGTTAAAGCACCAGGCTCCTGATTTATGCCTATGGGAAGTGAACCACGACGATTTTGTGTTGTGGCAGTGGAACTTGCCTCCAGTTGTTGCATCCTTTTACGCCCTTGTCGGCAGTTTTGGTCTATATAGGAGGACACCTGTTGTTGTGCAACAGAGGAACCATCTACAGCTGAAGGATTTAAATTAAATGACAAGCGTGATGAGTACAAGTCAATGTAAGAGTCCATATTGGCATTGCCACTTCTCTGCAAATGAGCAACAACAGGTAGTGGCAAATTGGCATCCGTGAATACAGAGCTCGGCCCAATGCTCAGTCCTGAACTTGTAATGTTGTCCAAGACTCTTGAGTTCAGGTCACCAGACACCAAATTTGCGTTCATCTGCGCCATTCTAGCTAGAGAATTCGAAAAATTTTCAAATGATAAATCCAAATGTGTGACTACTGCAGCACTGGACAGCCCATCTTTCTGAAGTGACATGCAAGAGTTTAAAGTTTCCATAAATCCCCCATCCCCACTAGTTGGTGCCACTAGAGGCACCGCCAATTGGTGGCCGGAATCCAAATAGTTCTCCAGAGACATCCCGAAGACACCCTATGGGAGTAGAAATAAAATTCATGTAACCCTTGTTACCCTGCAGAGTGCACACAAAACCAACAACCCACAAAAAATTATTCTCCCTCACGCCAGTGGAATAATAAGAAAATCTAGTTTTCCCCTTTCACGATTTCGAGATAAACAATATGTATACATTTATATATATATATATATATTATAATACAAATTAATCATGAGCTCCAATTGAAGCAACTAAATTGGAAATTGGGGTGGCTAATAAATATTATTTTCAAGTACATCTCCTTCAATAAAATAAAAAGGAAAAACAAAAGTGGCATTCAAACAGTGAAGAAATGTACTGATGAAGCTAAAATCAAACACTAAATAACATCATGCCTGCAACTTATTCAAGACTAACAATGATACATAACAACGACCACCATTCATGTGTATGTATTATATAAAACCTAGCAACAATCCAAAAGGAAAAAGTAGCTGTTTCCAACTCAATTAGCTATCAAAAAGAAGCTAACAAAAACAGAACTTATAGGGCTCAACAAACAGCAAATGGCACCAAAAATACACAAATGTACCATTTAATCTCAAAACCAACACCAACACATACGTTCAATGAAACATAACAAATCAAACTAGAAATATCAGCTGTCCACATGAAAAATAGTCCCAAAAAAAAAAAAAAAATTAACCTAAACCTATCCAGATGAAAACTTCAGACCCTATGTTTCATATTGAGTTTTCATTCGCCGCATTAATTAGCTAAACAATCGTACCACCGGCCACCTCAGTGACGTGAGGGGTTTTCTTTGTGGAGATCCAAATAAGGGAAAACCCAAGAGTCGAAGTAGTACTGATTACTTTTCCTTCACTTTCTTTACATTTTCTTGGCAAACAAACAAAAGTGTAACGAAGCAAAGCAAATTAAATGTGATTGTGAGGCGAATATTAATTTTCTCAGTTCTCGAGAAAGAAAATGGTGCGAAGCAGTATTGAAGAAAGAGAAAAAGAAGTCAAAAATCTAGAAAAGAAAGGAAAAGTAGAGAGACGGATGAGATAAATGCTAACCCTAAGAAGCTCCAAAAGGTTCCATTGATTTGTTCGGTTTGGCCATGGTGTAGTCTAGAGAGAGATGTTTTAGAGTAGTGTATATTGTTCGCGGGAAGTGCACCGAGTGAGAGTGAGGGGAGTGACCGGCTACGCCGGTTGCGGGTCCTCTCTAACCGGATAGAGATAGACTAGTAACGTTTTGTCGGTTCAGACACGCGTCAAGGAATCCACAACACCACGTTATACTCGTCTGTGACGTTTGGTAACGCTTTTTGTTTTTTGCTCGGACACGAGGCACTTATTCAAATTTTTAAGGAAATAAATTTGGAATATGATTAAGGGTACAGTGCAAAAAAATTCCTAAACTATGACCAAAAATGCAATAAATCTCTCTTAACTACAAAAAATACAATTAACTTTATGAACTATTATACTTTGTAATAATTTACCCACTCGACCGTAATTAGCGCGTGTAAGCCACTTTTTTTCTAAATACCCATTTCACCCTTATCATACAAAAATATCAAAAAAACCCTTATTCCCAAATTCATTACCCTAATTTGTATTTGTGTGTGTAAATATATATATATGTATGGATTTCATCTCTCTCTATCTATCTCTCTCGGTCACGATTCCGGTAAGATGTATATAGATTATTGGTCTCGATTTACAATATCTGTCTTCTTTATCTGTATCATCTACCATCCACATATATATATACACAGATATATACGGATTATTGCAAAGGACAAGGTTAACTGGTGAATCCTCTTGCAATTCTGGCATTCGAAGAGGTGTGTTCAAGAATAAGAAATGTTTTTGTGGTGTCAAGGTATATACACACAAATATTTTAATTGACCTATTGACATCGATCCAATCAGTAGAATACACATACACATAAAAGCGAGAGATTTATCTGGATCTGCATATTCCGATAAATCTTTTGTCAGTAAACACAAGCGCGATCGCTCAACAGATTCTGGAGAAAATTGTGGGCAACAATGACAATAGTGTCCTACTCTCAATATCGATACATCTTTCACATGAAGGGCATCGATGGCTTCGCCATGCTCTGTATGGCTAATTAATGATACTACCAGAAGTAAGGAAAATTACTCTTCTTTGATTAACCTGTTTGAGGTGGTTCACATTCCTGTTGTTGATAAGGTGGTGGGTGCTGAGGTATCAACTTGTTATTGGCTTTCAGATTATAATCTGCCACGTCATTGGTTTCAATTTAGGCCTAAGAAAGTTTAATAAAACTACATTGTTTTGTATGAGGGCATTAATGTAATATTTCTGAATTTCATCATTTTTCATTTTTTTGGAATCTTTCGTTTACGTAAGAGCATTTTCATCTTTTCTCGTTTTACGTACCGAACACGTACTATGGGGTACGCCGGTTGTGTCCGAGAGTTAGTTGGGGCGTTTAAGTGAGTTCAGAATTCTTTGAAATGTAAAGGTTGTCATTTTGACATTTTTCAGTTTTTTAGGCCGGACGATTCCTTGTGGGACCAGCTACCAGAATTATTGCGTACGGAGTTTTTGTTTGGATCCATTTGCATCATAATCATTTTAATTAATGTGTTATATGGGGTTATGAATTATTAAATGTTTATATATAATGGTGTGATGTAAAAAGGAAAAGATATGAAAAGAAAATTTTATTTTAAAAGTGGTGGGACCCACCACATATCCTTAAGCGGCAATGAGGCCACCATTGGCCTCACAATTCTCTCTCTCTCCCGTAACTCACTCTCTCCCCCTTTTCTTATCTCATTTTTTCTTTTTTCTTTCCATGTGAAACTTCATTTCTTGATTTCTCCCTCAATTTTTGGTATTTTTGGGTGCCGTTTAAGGCAAATTGAAGAGCACGACGAGATCTACGATTTGATCTGAGCCAATCTCCATTTGGCCACCATTTTGGGGACCTCAAAATTTCAGGGTTTGAGGTGAATTTGGGGCTTTTCATCAAATTGAGGTACGGGTCCCTAATCCATGACTTCTTAGGCCTTAGTGAGTCTTTTTCTTCATGGATTGTGATTTAGCATATTACATTTGTGTTGATTCTCTTTAAAACAAATTAGGTGTTGTAAATGAATTATATGCTTATGTGCATTAGATGATTTGTGTGAAAAAATATGCTTATGTGTAAATTTTCATGCCTATTATGTATAAATTATTGAGACTTGAAATATGGAAGCATGTTGATTTTGTGAGTCGTAAAGTCCTTTATTGATATTGTAATGGAAAACATGAAATTGATATTGTATTGGAAAACATGAAACATTCATGCATATCATAGAGCATGAAATGGGAATATTTTTAATTAAATGAAAGTACATAGTTTTTGGGAAAAAAGTTTAATGAAAGGTTTGCGAAAACCCGGACGCCTAGGAGGCGCCTCGTGGTCCGTGGTGTTAATGTATTCTAGAGGGAAGTTGAACTATCTAGGCCCAGACGATGCCATAGAGGTGCCATGTGGTTGGGGATTGCTAGCTCACCCTCTCCTCGTGACGCCATAGAGGTACTATGGATCGGGTTGCATTGACGGTTTGGATTAGTGAAACGGAATGGTTTTATTTGGAAAAGTTAGGAAGAAACATTTCATGACATTGCATCCCATTGCACGGCATAATTGGACTATGACTTGAACTGTTGATTTTGTGCTACATTTACCTAGTATGGCATGACCCCGCTTCTATATTTTTCCATTCATTGTTGGGATTACTGGGTTTTCAAGATGTGTGTCTTGGGCACCTCCTACTGAGTTTAGGCTCACCCATTTATTATTTAACATTTTTCAGGGCTTGGGAAAGAAGTGGCGGATGACATTCCACCACAAATTTAGTTCAAGAATTGGAGATCTTTTTGCTACCTTTTGTGCACTTATATCCATTCTTTTGTAGAGCCTCATTTTGAGAATGTATTAATTTGTAAAGCATAGCCATGTGCTGTAAATATAACTCTTAATGATAGTTTGATGTAAAGTTGGAACCATGTTAGCATGTTGTAATGAATCGGAAAAATGTATAGATATATGTTTTGTGTATTCTTTGATATCTATAATTGTAGATTGTTGTGCATAGTTGTTGTATAGAGTTTGCCGTGAATTTGGGATTTGTTGTGTATCAGGTTTTGTACGGGCCGGCTTATCACGAGCCTAGCTCATTTGATGTCCCAGCTGCAGATAACAGCATTTCTGGGCTTGTCAGCCGGCTGACAAGGACACTCAGCCGACTGACATTGAGATTTTTGGCATTCCAGTAGGTCGAGCCAGTGTGGAAGTTGTTTCGGCCGGCTGATAAACACTGTCAGCCGACCGAACCTTCCTTGTTAGTCGGCTGACGTTGGATGGTCGGTCGACCGACAGTCCACTTTTCCAAAGTCCCGAGAGCTAGTAATTTGAGGAACCATTTCAGCCCGCCGACCCTTTGGATCAGCCGGCTAACGAGGGAGCATCAGCCGGCTGGCTTTGTCATTGACCCGGCAAGCCATGCCTCTTTGACTTGCACCTTGACCCTTTATTTCTAAACTGTATTTTGGAGTTCTTAAAGTCTTGAAATGGATTGAGTACCACCTATGAGTATAGAAAATGATGATTGCACCCTTGTGGACCTCAGGTTCGGGTAAGGACCCGGTTAACGGTTCAGACCCACAGGTTCAGGTCGTTACAAATAATGTCATTTAACATTTCCGGTGAGGGAGTTTGCTCGAAAAAGTCACCGTTGTCCTTAATTGCAACAAATTGATAGTTCAAAGAGGTTTTTTTGCAGTTCAGGGGAGTTAGTTGCAAAAGGCCCATAGTTCAGGGGGGTTTTTGCACTTTACCCTATGATTAATATAAATATAAATTATTCTTTATAATTTCATTAAACAAAGACAATACATTTTAAATAATTTAGAAGAATGAATTATGTGAATATTTGAATATTATATACTCCATTTATCTCAAATAATAATAAGTGTGTCCGTCTCTTTATTCTTGGTTGTCACTTAATAAATGTTTCATTTGAAAAGTCAACTACTATGGTTTTTTTTTTTAACTACCAATTTAACCTTCTTACATAATCATCATGTCCACGTGATTAATTTGACAATTCATTTACCATCAATATAATTAAAAAAATTACTAAAATTCATTATTTTAAATAGTTAGGGTCTTCTCGATTTGTAACTCTGTTTAGAAAACTAAAAACATAAAATTATACAAAAAATATTCTGTTTGGTTCAGTTTTCTGAAAAACGTGCTTAGTTTATAACTCTGAAAACAATTATCAGAAACTCAGAAAATAGAAAAGATTGTTTTCTAAAAACAGACATTTTTATAACTGAGTTTTCACAAAACAGTTTATAAAAAATTGAACCAAGTAGAGTTTTTTTGTAAAATTTCCTGTTTTCAGTTTTCCAAAAATAGATAACTTTTTTCATAGTTACAAACTAAGCAAGCCTTTATAAAAATGCATGTTTTCAGATAATTGTTTTTTATAATTATTTGAAAACAGTTTTCTGTTCTTTGAATTATTGAGAACTATTTTTAAAGTTACAAACTAAGCAAACTTTTCTATTAAAAAAAAAAAATGACTTGTATTTTAAAACACCGACATTTATACTGGGATGAAAGAAATATTATTTATCTCTTATATAATTATAATTTTGTCACGAGTCTAATATTTCGAAGTGTACTAAAACTTGTTATATGTTTACAGCGGAGGCTTGAATTTGAGAGTGTAGAATATCATGAATATATTAATCAAAGTATTTTTGCTGTGTTCGTGTTTAATATGTGTCTCAAGCATTTGAATTAATAAAAATTATTTTTAAATAATAAAAATATTTATGAGTATTAAACACATGTTCATGAAGCATATAGTCTTAATGCATAAAAAGAAATGTTCATACTCATTAGAATTATTTTTCCAATTTTTAATGCATATTACAATAAAGTAATAGAAATAACAATTCAATCGCACACGGATCAGTACAAGTCTAACCTTTATTTTACATGGCGGTTTACAATCTTCCTCGAATTAAAATTTTAAACATTTTAATTAAAACTAAAGTGATCAAGGTAGG